CGTCGCGTCACGGGCCCCCCGGCGGGAGCCGTAGGGGTTGCACTGGCAGGTGCCTGTGGGAAAGAGGGAGAACGTCAGGCTGGACCTGGCTGAGGAGGTGGGGGGATCCTGGGAGAGTTGGGGTGCTCAGCCTGGAGAAGAGAATGTTTGGGGAGACCTTAGAGCACCTTCCAGGGCCTGAAGCAGCTCCTGGAAAGCTGGGGAGGGGCTTTTTGCCAAAGAGGGCAGAGATGGGACAAGGAGCGATGGTTTTAAACTGAAAGAGGGGCAATTTAGGTTAGATATTAGGAAAGAATTCTTCACCATGAGGGTAGGAAGGTGCTGGAGGTGCTCAAGGGCAGGTTGGATGAGGCTTGTGCAGCCTGGTCTGTGGGAGGTGTCCGTGCTCACAGCAGGGAGGTTGAATCCTGATGATCTTTAAGGTCACTTGCAACCTTCACCATGCTGGGATTCTATCATGCTGGGGGTATCCTGGGGGCTGCAGCCACCGAGCTCCTGAGCCCGGGCAGGAACGTGACCTCAGGCTGGGCAGGAGGTGCCACCAGCTGCTCTCAGCACTCCTCCCCTGCCCCAGCTCCAAGGGGGAACTAAACCTCCAGGGATTGACCCACTTGCTTTGCTGTCATCAAGAACTCATCCCTCATTAACATCAAAGAAGGAGGAAGCTATTAGAAGTTTATTATTAATTCATTAATTAGGAACTTGATGGAAGGAAATGATCCAAAGATAAGACAGAGAGATGCTCTCTTTATCCACAGGGAGCAGTAGAAAGGGGACATGGGGAAGAGCTGGGGAGAAAAGCAGACCTTGGGAGCTGCAAGCAGGGTGCATATGGACATTCCCAGGCTGCCAGAGGCAGGGAAATGGCATGTCCAGAACAGTCTGTAGTGGATAAATCTGTCCTCAGGGATTCAAGCTGCTGGTTAAGTGGTAATTAGCTCCTGAAGCATGTTTGCTGCTGGCAGAGGTGGGACAGAAACTGCTGGGAAACTGAATCCCAGTCAGCTGGGAAGCTGTGTCCATGGGCTGCAGAGCAGGGGACAGGATTTCCATCAGAGAGATAGGGGAACATCACCACGTGCCACTGGCAGGGCAATGCTGAAAGAAAAATGCTCATCTCCTTCCTAGCATCACTCTGCCCAGCTCTTCCTGGCTCTGGTAGTGCCCTGGCTTCAGCAGTCAAACTGTGACAAGTAGTCCTTCTTGGCCAGCACCCTCCTTGGCCTGTAGCCCAGCCCAGAGATCACTGGACATTCTCTGAATGCTGCTGCTTTTTAAATTATCTGACATGTTAAGCAGCACAAGACCCTCACCAAGCAGCTGTGAGCCAGGCCCAAACACAGTGTGAACGTGTCTCTGAGGGCTGATGTGTTTCCCTAAGAGCTGGGCACAGCTTCAGCTGTTGAGGAGGTTGCTAATGCCTTTCAAAAGTGTCTTCTGGCAAAGGGCTGACTCTGATCATTATTTAATAAATGTTAATGAATCACCTGCCAGCTCAACTTCCTGCACAGTGCAGTCACCTGCTAGTCCCTGGGCCTGTGGTGGCCTTGCAGAAGGTCCTGGGTGATCCCAAAGGCTCTTCCCCACCTCAGCCTGCACTGCAAGGGTACAAGCACTGGTTTTGTCACTCAGGCTGCTGAAAAGCCAGCAATAGGTGGAAGGCACAGAGGGCAAGGACCATCTTCTGGGGTGTCCAACACGAACTCAGCACCAGACAAGTTCTGAGCCACTGCCCTCTCTGCCTGCATTTCAGAGGGACTTAGAGCTGGAAGTTGACTCAAGGTGATCAAAAGGACAAGAGCATCACTAGTAGATACAGAAGGTGAAGCAGGCACACATCTCCATGTGTGCATCCTGTGAGCCTGGAGCTGGGGATAAACAGAGGCTTTTTGAGCCTGGGAGGTCACTAGTGAGCTAAGGAATGAGGAAGGTCCACCTTCCTTTCCTTCCCCTGGCATTTGACCCCAAGTTCCCCCACCCATCCGATTTCTCCTGCCTTCCAGAAATCCCTGAACATCCCCCATGGCCCCCCAACTGCAAACACAATATTCACTCACTTGGGCATCCAGCTGCACCCACTCCCAGTGCCAAGGTCATGTTGTCTGGGCAGCATCCATAGATGGTCTGGCTGCAGTGCACAACCAGGAGAGGTGGTGGGGTGGTGGTGAGGGCTGCGGGGGAAGGTGGAGAGGCAGAAGGTTATTATCTTTGGCACCCAGGCTGCCTCAGGGCAGTGCTGTAGACCTATGGATGGATCAAGCAGCATTCCGGTGGGGCTCAGCAACCCAACGTGGACACTGCTGGGTCCTTGGTGGGGCTCAGCAACCCAACGTGGACACTGCTGGGTCCTTGGTGGGGCTCAGCAACCCAACGTGGACACTGCTGGGTCCTTGGTGGGGCTCAGCAACCCAACGTGGACACTGCTGGGTCCTTGGTGGGGCTCAGCAACCCAACGTGGACACTGCTGGGTCCTTGGTGGGGCTCAGCAACCCAACGTGGACACTGCTGGGTCCTTGGTGGGGCTCAGCAACCCAACGTGGACACTGCTGGGTCCTTGGTGGGGCTCAGCAACCCAACGTGGACACTGCTGGGTCCTTGGTGGGGCTCAGCAACCCAACGTGGACACTGCTGGGTCCTTGGTGGGGCTCAGCAACCCAACGTGGACACTGCTGTGTCCTTGGTGGGGGTCAGCAACCCAACGTGGACACTGCTGGGTCCTTGGTGGGGCTCAGCAACCCAACGTGGACACTGCTGGGTCCTTGGTGAGCACTTCCTTGCTTAGTCCCAGGGAAAGGGCAGGTGGCACTGCCTGGCACTGGGCTGGGGAGCAGTGCAGAGAGGCTGTGTCAGCCTGGGGGACTGGCTGCCCCAGGGGCACTCACCACGGCAGGCTCCTTGGCTAGTGACATAGAGATCCTGGCGCTTTTCACACCGTGTCTTCTTCAGCTCACACTCGTTGGTGTAGGTCACCCCATCAGAGCCACACACCTGCCAGGACACGGCGAGAAGCTGCTCAGGGCAGCCCCTGGCACAGGGAGGCAGGTCCCCCCACCCACGGGATGCCCTCTCCTGCCCAGGAAGCATGCGGGAAGGCCACCGGGGAGAAGAGAGGAGGAGAGCAAGGCCTGCAGCAGGCAGCCTGGGGCTGCTGGGGGTGCTTACCGGGCTGCGTGGCACTGCCAGGCAGGTGAAGTCACACACGCACCGATCGTCCTCCGCGTCCTCGTCCCACCAGCCCCCGAACTGCCGGCACCGCTCCTGCTCACACTCGCTGCCGTCTCCCGAGCCCGAGCCCCCCGAGCCACACTCTGAAGCCAAGGAGGAGGGGGGTGAGGCAGGGCTTGGCAGCCAGCAGGGCAGAGGGAGGGGACAGCAGAGGGGACGGGGACGAAGCCCTGGCACAAAGCCGTGCCCCGCGCAGGGGGTGCAGCTCGCGGCTGTCGCGGCCGGTTTAAGCTCCTCAGCGCAGGCAACGCCAGAGCCCTGGGCCCAGGTGTATCAGGGTGCTCGTCAGGACCTCAGACAAGGCCCCTCCACCTCGGAGAAAACAGATTCCCCCCCACCACTGCCAGAAGATTGTGCCAAGTCTACGTCACGGAAACCATCAAGGGATGCTCTAGCACGTGGCCTGAGGTGCTCTCTGCAGCAGCAGCACAGGAGCAGCAGCAGGGACCCCAGGGGCTGCCTGCAGCCCTGCCAGGGAGCAGCCATGCATGGGAGCAGGGGCTGCCACTTGCCTCAGGGACAGCTTCACTCCATGCTTTGATCCAACTCCTTCCCCTTCTCCTGCCTTCCCCAACACCCAGTGCAGCAGGGAGGCTGCTGCTGCTAATATAAAGATGGGAACCAGAGCAGAGGATGGGATGGGATTTGGGTTTAGCTTGAAGTTCAGCTTGGCAGATATTGTTAACAATACATAAAGTCTGTCCCTAGCCTGGCTGCCTCTCCACAAGATGCTTGGAGCTTCAGCAGCAAGACAGACATTGCTGATTTCAAAGGCTTCTAAAGGGGAAGTGGGGGAAGGAAAACCTGGCCCTTTTTATTGAGTGATCAAAGGCTGGGATTTGGCATTACACAGAGAATTATTTAAGATCTTATCCCAGAGGGACATCAACCTGAAATTCCCCAAGGAGGGCTGTGATCAAACACCATGTTATGTCTTTCCCTCTCCCTAAGCTCTGCCATAGCACTGAAGTCCTTTCCAGCAAGACTACATGTGCAATGAGCCAGAGAATCTCAGCTCACCGGGTCAGCACATCACAGTGCTGATGTTTACCTGCCTCCTGTGCTGGGATTCACCCAGAGTTCACCACAGCCTTCCCCTCCAGTGGGAAAACTCAGCAGGTTCCCAGTCCTTAGCCTGGCCCAGCATGATACAGCCAACAGTGACCTCCCCAGGTGCTCAGAATGGAGTCAGTAGTGACCACAGACCAGTCCTCAGGGCAGAGGGCAGGGGCAGCCAGGCTCCCTGCCCCAGACACTGCCCTGTTCCCCCTGGCCTGCTGAAGTGTGAAATGACAGCAGTGATCATCTCCTGCCCACCCCTCCGGTAGTGGCATCTCTCGTTACTGCTGGGTACAGACAAAGGGGAAAGGGAGGTGGCAGGCAGGGTGCTGGGTGGCCAGAAGCCAGGAGGGAAGGAAAGGGCTGCTGGCATGGAACCTGGGGATTCTGGGAGACACTGGGGGTGTCACAGGGCCCCATGCCTGAGCTCCAGACCACAGGTCTGACCCAGCGTCTGGGCACAGCGGAGCAGCCAGGGCAAGAACCCGCCGCGAGGTTCGGTCCTTCCTCACCCTTCTTCTTCCCCCAGCTCTGCCGTGAAGGGAACAGTGACAACCTACCGTCCTCACAGGGCCCCATCCTGGCCACCTGGATGCTCTTCTTCTGCTGGCAGGAGGCCACCTGCAGCTCGCACAGGCTGTGGTAGGTGAGGCCGTCGGAGCCGCAGAGCGGGGCGCGGGGCTGCCCCTCGCAGCGGGGACACACGCACTGCCCGCCCAGGCAGCGGCTGGCCCAGGGGGCGACCGCGGGGGCCCCGGCCACC